GAGTTGTTCTGAAAGTGGGATCACAAAAGATTTACAATCCGTGGAAGTATAAGGCTAACAAGTGGAGTCATCTTCACATTTCCAAGAGCTCTATGCTGTTGGTCTCATGCTCAACATCACAGCTCACAGTTTATATACTCTAGCCACAGGGAGATCGCTGAAACCTGTTAAAGTAATTTCCTCGGTATTCTTCAAAGCGACAGCGAGAACTTGAATTGGTCCTTCTGATAAGTGTGGCGCACATGCTCAAACACAAACCCAACTGCTACCAACTGAACTTCAGGAGCAGAATCATGAGGAAGGACGATGCCGTACGTAGGAAGTAACAGATCTAGCTGCTGGATGATGTAGGTTTTTCATTCACAATCTGACCGTAGCTAGATTCCAGAGGCGCTTGTAGCAGTTGGGAGTAACTCGAATCTCATGCTGTTGAGGTCGATGATCGTCATCATATCCACCAGAAGTTCAAAAAGCTTCGATTCCAGCTAACCGATCAACGGAGTAGTTGACAGAATACTGATGGTTCACTAAACTGGATGTTGTAAAATTTCTAATGCACGCCCCAATGCTTCACATTGATACTTCTTGTCACACTAGAATTGTCAGAATGAATTTATAGTCAAACTGATCGCTCGTTGTAATATTGTCGCGTTCAATTGCAATCGACTGAGGCCAGTTGTTATATACTGGTGACCATCGAGAGATGGAACACTGTCCTCGGTATAGTCAGTGAGTCAATGAGAAATGAACTGCTGCACTTCTCACATGGGAATGTTGGGAATCAGTCAAGATTCAGGACGGAAATGACTGAATATGCAAATCTGATGCGCCTCTACCGAACTCTGTTTCTCGACCTCGACTGCAGGTAAAGAGCTCGTAGCCTGCGGCAGTGAGCCCCATCTTATAAAAAGGGTGAGTGGGAAACTATGCAAAGTCAGAGCGCTTTCTGATCTAGAAGCGCGTTTGTTACAAGGGCCCGCAGCAGCAGCGGCAAAGGCAGGCAGTCAGCGTCAGAATGCCACAGGTGACGTAAGCAACCAGACTGAGTGATCAATGCCAATCGATGGCAAAGTTCACAGTTTGATCTCATAGCCCGCCCGGGCCTTTGTAACTTTAGGAAGCATGTGTTTCGGAATGGCTTCATCCACGCGTTATCTTTGTTTGTACAGGGATCGTACCTACCCGCAGAAAGAAGTTGAGGAACAATCCCAATCCTTTAAGACGGATTTGTTGGGTGTCCCTGATATTGCCTTTTGATCTCTATTCTAATTCCTGGTATCTGAGGCTCCCAATCATTATTTTGATCATTATCTGAAGTTGCCCCGAGTTGAACATGGATGATTGTTTAAGAAGCCAAGGGCTAAGGTCATTAGCCGTCTGTGGGTTTCAGGCATGCGGGCATGCATTACTCCGCACAAAAGTCTCTTTTCACTCCACGGGAACAGTTGGCAAGTGGACTATTGATAAACTGAAGGAAGATCATTCTCCTCTTGATTCTGTTTGTGACAAGGAATTTTTGCATTGTTGCTGTTACTCCTTCACTATCTGCCTCACAAATGGTGCATAGAGACAAGTTCAATGACCAGAAAAGAATTTAGAAGAAGGCCAAAGAGGCTCACTTTACTTGGCTTGGACTCTTGGACCAAGATCCGCTCTGACGTGTGTAACATTTTCCTTGATCCAAATTCCGGTGAGGTATGCCAACTCGAAGAGGACGAGAACATTGTTCGTTGAAGACTTTCTGCAAGAGTAGGGCGCGCATATAATGCCTTCTATCGTCCAAGCATGGAGTAAAGTGATCTTATCAGCAAAATGGACAACAGAAATTTATCTACACAGATGCAAGTTTTTAGAAGGTAGAGAACAGAGTACTGTGTCTATAATTCTTACAGGCAAAGTTATACAGCAGGACCTATTATGTGAAATATTTGAAGTGACCATTGTGCTTCTCACCACATCGCAGAAATAATGTGGAATTTTAGGAACTTTGCCCTCATTTTATACATATATGACTTCACCATCGACAACGAGTATTGTCACCTATGCAACCGAGTGAATCCTTACAGTAGTCCATTCTTCCACTCTCATCACTTTTGAGGTTTCATAGTTGGTGTATTCAGTTGACCAGGGACCACCTCGTTGTGCAGGGCATGGATGATAATGAAGTACGTGTGACAGATGGCAACTTCCGAACTTCCCTGGGAAACTGGTGCACATTGTATAAAAGTAGCATGTCAACTTTAGTCAGTTACTGCTACCACAAGACGGAAGATCCAATCATACCCTCGTACAAGAGGGACTCGACTGTTCATGTAAACCATATCCAGATCTGTATCTAGTTTAAGGCGATCTAACTTTGGACTTGAAACTTTGGTCCTCTTCCAATGACCGCGTACGCCGTAAAAAACGATTTGATTATATGTAGCAGGCCAACTTCCGTGTTGACATTTCGACCATGTGTGACGTCTGCAACATAAATGGTGAAGATCATATTTCCACAATGCAAAGAATTGCATGAATTGCATTCGGCTTCGGTGTAGGGTCCATCCAGCCTGGAGACGACCCATGATGATGTTTATGCCGGGATTGCGATTCTGATATTCATCCCTCGAGTTCTTTCTCTGCAGTAGCCACAAGTTTTCACACAGGAGAGGAAATCAGTTTCTTAAGCAACAAGGATGCTAAAAATACCAGCCAAAATCGAGTGGAATAGTGTACAGTATAGAGGCTGAGGGCCGATCCTAAGCACACTCTCCCTCCTTAAGTCCTTCGTTGACTCTGTATTTCTGTATATAGTCTGACCTCGTCACTTCCATCTTCATTTAGAGACAAAAAACAATAAAAATAAAACTCACTACAGAATTCTGATCTTCCAATTCGAAGCCGGGTGTGGTTGTTGAATTTCCAAAGGGATAAGCTTGCAACTGATGTCAAGTCCATACTATACAAGAATCATGTCATATAACTAGTCATATTAATAATGGAGAAGGATTTTCCTACATAGTAGAGACCTCCACAAAACTCAAAGGAGGCATCTCATACGATAATTGTAAAGTTGCCATGACTTCCTTGCACAAAAAGTCGGCAGTCTTCTCATCGCGAACTACACTATATAACACCCTCCCCTGAACGATAGTAAAGCCTCAGTGTTTTTATCTCCTGTGACTAAGAACCCCTGCTATGGGTAGGAAAATGCTAGATTGTAGCCTTATAAGAGGCTACCCTGGGCAGAACCACTGTAGGAATAATGTTCATATAGTTGACGCGAGGGGACGTTCGTTCTTCCATCTATCTTTTGAAGATAGGATTACTGAAAGTTTTCATCATGTTAAGCCTTAGATTTTTCCTCTAGTGGAGAGAATCAGGTTACTGAACGACAAGCTCAAACGATACAAACTAGTATGGAAGTGAAATTGCATGTTATTTCCTTAACTATATTAAATATCTTTGTCAAGCTGTAAATGCAAGTTTCATTACTTCCCAGTTCAGCTCTTATCAGATTTTTCTTAAGAATAAGTGCCTTCTACGTCGAAATTCATAGTGGACGATTCACATCAATGGCAGAAGAGAGATCAATCGAAACTCCGATTCAGGACGGACTTTGTCCATTTTGTCAGAACAATTCTTTCCGTTCTGGATTCCTCTGCATTTTGTGGAACCATAATGATACCAGAATGGCGGTGGTGATGAAGACCTTCCCTCTCCAAGTCATACTCCGTAAGACTTGGAGAAGGGAAGTCTGAAGGTCTTGGACTTGGAAGCATGAACCCACGCATAGTGGCTAATATGCCGCTACGATTCGAGAGAAATTGTTCTCCATCCGCGTCATGGCAACTTGGCCATTCTCCAAAAAGTGCCCAAGTCCACTGCTCTTATCCAGTGAGAGGGAATCATTGCGTTGGCCATTTTCTTCCATCAACTCCAATTTACTTGTGATGGCCTTTACTGCACATATGCAGTAAACCATCACTCGAACTGCATTCAACGCACCGTTCATGTAAGAGGATGTCAAATGCTGGCAATCTCATGTACAGTTTCGTTTGATTCTCGTTCATGAGGCATGCCTCCTACTGCCCATTAGCAGAATCTCGTGCATTTTCCCTCACGTAATCTGTGTCTTGTTCTCCTCATGTCTACAGCCGGCACCGTACGAGCATGCATTACAGGAAAATCAACTTGTCTCACCGTAGGTGTTCTATAATCATACAGTGCTGGGCGTTCAACTTTTTTATACTTTCGGACAGTTTACTGCACCACCATCAGAGCTCGATGTCAAAGTCGAAGTGCCTATTCTGTGGCTCCTTCTGACAAAAGCAGGCTGCAGAGTCTCTGCTTATATTCTCTATCACCAGTGTTGGCAGGTATGAAATATTGAATTAATATAAAACTAGAAAAACCGGACCCAGGCAAAGATCTGCAGAAATATGCACACTGCGGTAAATGTAACACCTTTTTGAGAGAGGATGGCTTTACAGGCGAAGGGCGAACCCAATGTTGTTAATTTAGATACTCAATCTACTGAACGTCAAAAGGCGGTGGCTATATTCTAATGCCCACGGTCATCAAGAAATTGCATTTTTGGGACTGATTAAGAGATCAGGAAGGCTGAAGGGTATGGAGATCAGAAGTGTACTGAACCGTACTGATCGAATGTTGCATTTCCTGTAGTTCCACCTGAAGTGCCACATTTGTTCTAAGGATGCTAAATCCTGGATCAGAGAAACGAAAGCATGTGCCGTACAATAACATCGGTCTTAGTGAGCTTGAGGTGCCCAATATTCTCCTCCGGACTTTTCCCCAGAAAGGCGGTCACTGCGGGTCAGTGGTCCGGCCACGGGTTCTTGTAACGAGAGGGGTCTGGTCGTCGGGTAACGTCAAAAGCGGGTGGGACCAAAAGCTGTCAGCGGGGAACGGCGATTTCTTCGGAAGCTCGGCTCGTCTCCATCTCGTCGACATGGACCAGAGGTTCAGTGTCGACACGTCCCGACAAGAAGCCTAGATCGTTGCAGCTGGCGTGGAAATCGGGGGCCTGTACGCGATCGAAGTCTCCTTAGCGCACGAGCTGCGTGATCTCACACGACCGAACGCTAGTGGCAGTGTCAGTGGACGAGCTAATCAGTAGACTCTGTCAGCTGGATCACTGTGGCTTGCTCGATTTCGATTGCTGCTTGCGAGCGGAGCTACGGTGGTCGAATTCCCCTCGAGCTCCTGCCGAGTGGTATAAAAGCTCTGGAGCTGCATGCTGGAATCCAGAAGCCGCGAGCCTTTTACATCAGATAGCTATCGATTGCTCCATCCACCGGACGAACTATCAAGAGGAACATCAAGAGGAACGATCGATCGCTCCTTCAAACCGGTTCTAGCTCGCGACTTTTAGCTCTAGAAAATCTTCTCTGTCCAAGATGACGAAGAGGGCTTTGTTGGTTGGGTGCAATTATCCAGGAACCACCGCTGCTCTCAGCGGCTGTGTGAACGATGTCACCAGGATGTACAACCTTCTGCTGGAGAAGTACGGGTTCGAAGAGGAGAACATCAAATTGATGACTGACACTGAAGACGACAACGACATGCCCACCGGTGCTAACATCAAGACCTGGTTGAAAAAATTCATCGCTGAATCTGAGGAAGGTGATGTCTTGTACTTGCATTTCAGTGGCCATGGTACCCAGGTGCCCGCAGAGAGCGGTGACCACGAAGATGATGGCTTGGACGAGGCCATCTGCCCCACCGATTTGAACATTCTTACTGGTAAGTGAAACTTTTGCCTCCCCCTCCTTCCCAGATCTAGTCTGTAATGATCATTGTCGAGGCTCTCTAAGATCCAATTACTTACCTCAGCTGAATTCAGCTGCAGCTGGAAGAGTGTCAAGCTCGTACCTGTAAAAGAGTCGGTGTATCTTCATCCCACCTCAAGTTCTGGACCAGGGCACATGAATTGAGATTGTGATAGTGCAGAGCAATGCAATTACTAATAATCATCCGTGACCAATATCTGATCGCATGATTAGCTCTAATTTTGCTGCGTTGAAAAGTGCACTGGGGCGAGATTAGGCACTAGTCGTGACTTCGAAGTGTCACGAAAGAATATACTGAGTACAGTCGTCGAGTTCTCGTACAATTCTCGCATTTTCAGTTGATAAGCTGAAATCCGATTGCGCTAAATTTGCCTCACGTAGTCCGAGCTCAAATTCCGTCCAGGGAATGTATCTTCTGGCTCTACTCTGTTCTGTCGTGAAACGGCGCAATCGAATATGACCGATCACATCTTTGCGAAGTTTTGACTGCGTGAAAGCATGTATGTGAAAGAGGAAGAATTCTTCGAGCTTGCTTGGCATGGCGCAATTTTACTGTCCGATTATTGAGTGGCGGGCAGGCACTAAGGAACTCATTGTTTTCCGATTCAGATGACGATTTCAGAGTCTTGTTCAAGCCTCTGGCACCCGGCGTGGCCTTCACCTTCGTCTCCGACTCTTGCCACAGCGGTGGTCTGCTAGATAGCGAGGAGGTGCAGATCGGAGTTGCCGACGATGGAGAAGTGGGAGATGAGACGGAGCACCACGAAGAAGAGGGAGAGTCGACAGGCAGGGAGCTGCCCGAGAGCGCCAGCAAGAACATGTCAGTGGAAATGCTGCAGGAGCTTTTGGCCGAGAGGACGGGTCACGAGGTCAGCGCAGGAACCATCAGAACGACCCTCTACGACATGTTCGGCGACGACTGCAGTCCCACCGTCAAGGTCTTCGTGAACCACATCGCCCAGCGTTTGGAGGATGGAGTCTCGGAGGAAGAAATCATCGAGCTTTACGGAGAAACAGGACATTTGGCCGTGGCATTCCTCAAGCACAAGATGGAAGACGAGGAGGTCGACAACGAGGAGTACTTCCGCAGCTCGCACGAGCTCGAGGGCCCCGTGAACAGATCCGGCCATGCCAATGCCAAGCCTGACCCGGAGGATCGCCTCGCCCCCAGCACTGGAGTCCTGATCAGCGGATGCCAATCCAACCAAACCTCGGCCGATGCCAATCCCACCGGCGATCCCGCTGATGCTTATGGAGCACTGACGCACGCCATCCAGACAGTGGTGGAAGAGTATGGGGGCAACATCACCAACGGCGAGCTCGTCAACAATGTGCGCAAGCTGCTCGTCAAAACCGGCTACACTCAGAGACCGTGCCTGTACTGCAGTGAGGAAGCTGTGGAGATGCCCTTCATCTGCGAGCCAGTGTGCTGAGCCATGCTCTCTCACCAGTGGGAAACCTTAGCATCTCCCAATTGCACTTTGTGCACCAGCAGCACTCTTCCTCCTCTGGGAATAGCTCGTGTACTGACTAACAGAGAGGGAGAAAGCAGAAGGTGGTCTACAATCAATGTCTCGTCCCATCGTTTCGTTGTTGTTGTGGTTGTTGTGGTTTGTGTGCGACCCATCCATCGAGAGTTTCGTCCGAGTCTTCTGTCCGATGTTTGGCTTACAAAGACGGAAAAGTGAAAAACAATGGCATCAGCCCCTTGAAGGTCCAGAGCATGGAAAAGTAGGAGGAAACAGTCGCAGAGAGAAAGAGCCGGAGATTTCAGGCCCGGTCGAAGCAGATCGGAGAGGGTGAGAAGGCATTCTTTGCAAGGGCGTCTCCCTTGAAGCTAGAGAGAGTGCTGACAGTACAAGTCTGTGCCGCCAACGGATCATTCCATTGCAGGGAAGCGGAGGAGCTAGGAACGAAAGTACTGCTCTCTCTTGGTGAATTCGCAAGCTAGCTGAATTTTTCTCATCGGGATTCTGAGCAGTTACAGCACGTAGTTCGTCAAAGAGCGGTCGATAGGCAAGATTATTCTCTATTTCTGTGTATATCCAAATTTTGAAGCTTTCACTTCACATGCAATAAAGCTCATATTTCTATCTGTGACGTCGTACGTTGATTGATGGCCACTTTGCTGAAACTTTTCTGATCCAGGAATTGACAACTTTTGTTGATGCAAGTATCTTTTAGATGACGGAGGATGAACGTGGGGGAAGGTTCATATTGAGTCTTCCCCCATCTCCGACATAGATTCTGATTCTTGAGATGAGCTGCACTGCATTTGCTATCTGCTGAGTATATGTTCAAGTATGATAGTCCAGGTAGATTTGGACCGGAAGATTTGAATGAGAGTAGTCGAGCACACGGCCAAAGGATGACACTACTGTGGGGAACAAGAGAACAGAACATAGACATCACTCGTGTCGACCGTGCGGTGACCCGCAAGTTGATCCGATGATCTAGCAGAACAGAGCGAACATAATCTGATCTCTCATGCTGCTTTGAAAATGGATTTGTCTCTGTAATCTATACTCTGTGTGATGAGAATTTAGGTACTACAGACATCTTATCTTAAAAATACCTCATCAATATCTGACTTATTAGATCAGGATGTTTCTACGATCTATCTATCACGTGGAATCTCCGATGAGAAATTGCGGTTCTTGTCATGAAAAATAATAAGTGTACGTCAGGCCGAATTCTACACACTTGTTATAGTAGTGAACAGTGTCAACTGCAGAAAGTCAGGCCCGGTTCTGCACATTTGTCATAGTAGTGTACAGATGTCAACTGCTTGATCTGCTAGTCAGCGCGAGAGAGTGAGCTCGATGAAGTCCGAAGCTTAGCTGTAATTCTCTAGACACAGAATTCTACGCCAGAGTTGTTTGCCCTCGTCAGAAAAGATGCGAGTCTCTAGAAGCATGAGTCTAAGGCTTGGAGAGCCCAGAGAACGTAAACTTGCTGCATCTATAAACCTGAAGTCAGCTACGCTGGCTAAATTAGTTCATGTCCACCATGTGAGCAGTCTACCTTCATTTTGCGTCCAGCAGAATCCAAGCAACTCATAATTTCAGTTACATAATAAACTGTCGAGACCTGCTTCGCGGTCAAGTGCTAGGACCCAGAGTAAGATACCATCAAAATTGGAAAACAATATATTAAACCTCAATCCAGTTCTCTGATGACAAGGCACATCTTCCTCGTGTAGGTCATTCATTCCACCCATAATTATTATATGAGGACCTTGCACCGCATTTCATCAGGATAGTACATTCTCTGCTTTTTGTGACCTCTTACTTGGAAATCGAGATGAATTTGCCTTCGACGCTCCCGATTGCATCGCATCGAAAATAGGGTAGTTTTGCCAGTAAGTTTCCCCGCCTCTTCAGACAACACTCCCAACATTGGAGTCAGTCACAAACCCTGAATTTGATACAACTCGTTCCATTTGAATCCATCGTGAATTCTTTTGAGTCACACCCTTCCAATGAATCACGAACCCTGAATTTGGAACTCACAAATTCGATATATCCATCGTGCAGACAGTCCATCACAAACTATGAACTTAGAGCACACAGTCTATTTCGTCCGATAGAGACTTTCACTTCAGTCACCACCTGCATTGGGTCCTGAACCTTGAACTTGACAGGACGTTTCATTTCAGTTAATTGTGCCTTCCAGCTCACTGATGTGAATCCACAAGGATACTCTGTAATGTGATCAGAAAGTTGAAATGAATTTGAGAAGTCCGAAGTTAATGAATGTCTCAATCTCAGGTTACGCATATCTATGCGGAAATAGTACTTGCCAGGGCATGAAAAGAAGGCTATATCGAAATGGAGACTCGAAGTGAAGGAATCCACAACTTTCAGATGGGCTAGAAAGCAACGATGGAAGCAATCACTTGGATGCAGAGCATCCTTGAAACACGAAGATTCGAGTGCACAATCAAGCGACCTCTGTAATATCCTCGAAGAAGTCGGTCCTGGTTGAAGGAATCCTCTCCTTTCTCCAAAGACATTCCTCAGCGCACAGTAAAAGAAGGCAATGAGCCGCATCAGTCATCCATGTTCGGCTCGACGGTGTCTTCCCATATCTTTGAATTTCTTAATACTTTTCAGAAGGGCCGATCCTGATTTTCTTCTTATGGATTTTCTCTTTACTAATTGCGCACGTGCCACGTGGACTGAACCAGAATCCAACTTCACCAACGTTGGGCAGCACAAGAGGGATGTAGACCAGGTCAGTCCCAATCTCGTAGTTTTGACAGAGCCACTTGCAGTCGAACGAGGTTGATCTTTCTGTCCATGAAGTGCTGACGCTAGATAAATGTTTTACTACCACGTTCCGTCCACTTCCGGCGTTCTTAGGAATGCGGTCCAAGTTTATCAGAATTTAAAGCTGTGCAACTTATTTGTTCACCAGACGGTGAACAAATAAGGTGTCAAAGTATTATACTGGGAAAGTATCTGTTCAAACGTGGTTGTCAATAATTCTAAAGCCCCTGGGAACGAATCTAAACCAGTGCAAATGTTCAAGTAAAGTCTGCATGAAAATAATGTGAGTAGTGGAGATTTGATATCAAGAGCTATTATGTGTATTTCTGAACTTAACTATAACTAGCTCAGCATGACAATGATTAAGTTTCACTTAGTCATACTCAAAACTTACCTTATATGCTCATTCATGAATATTGGTATGAACTCTATAGATGTGGAGCGTGATAAGTATTTGCATAAGGTAGTTGAGCAATTATTTTCTCAGCAATAAATCTCAATCGTTGGAGACAATCTTACATATTCCACAATCCTCATAAGTGAAATATCTATTAAACTTTCTTGTACTGTACATGAAAACTTGGATATATCATAAAATGTGAATTGGAACGTTTACAGGCTAGATCATTGATGTCCTTGAGGAGATGAACAAGACATAGCATTGTTTAACTTTTGAAATTGTCTGCATTTCCTCATATGCTGACAAGATCAATGAAAGTTTATATCTTTCAAGTTGTTGAATTTGTAAGTATTTTTTATTCAACATAACGAGGAGAAAAAATCTTCTTTCATAGCTCAATCAAATTGTGGCAACAACGTAAGTAATTCAATTTATGTGTAATTACATGATATAGTTTATAATTTATCCTAAAAAATGATAAGAATGAGATCAATTTGATGAAAAGCTATGAAGTTATAATGAATTGATGGTGTTGAAGTATCTTTTCACATGAATTTGTTTTTTCATTAATTTTTCTTTGGTGTAAATAGAGATGACATTATTTTTGTTGCATTTTGTGTATTAGGGTTTAAGATCAAAGGCAAGTTAATTTATACTTAATGTAAATCCAGCATAGTAACGCCAACATAATGTTTTAAAAATAGGTCTTGTAAAAAAATATTTTATTTAATGTTGATTGGAAATTATGATCTACTTTATCTAACTTTTAAGTTACAAATATCATGAGAATTTTTTTAACTGAATCTTGTATCATTTCTGAATCATAATTTTAAAAATATGATGTTAATTTGTACTGATCATGATGAAGAAATTATATTGAAAAAAAGTTTATTGGAAATTTAATTGTTTTTAAACATATATTATGTCATGTTACAATCAAGGAGATGAATATCAAACTTCAATTTAAAAATTCAATGTTGATAATTGCTTACATTTTCACAAAAAAAATCAGCTATCAAATTATAGGTTACTATTTTAGTATAAAGTATTATCATGTGGGTTCGTTTTTCTATATTTTGCTATAAAGTGTTGTAATGATATGATTTGATAATATCATATGGGAAATTTTTTATCACTTCAACTTCTAATTATTGATGTGAGCAATATTTGTATCAAATTTTAATGCTCAAGACGTAATTTCTGTGAATCAAGTGAAGGTTACAATGATTTGATACTTTTGTTTGAGAATATGTAGTATTCCATATTTCAAATCTCCTTTCGATGCTGAGGAGGAAATAATAAACACATCGTGAATGCAATTTAAAAATTGATTTGTGCATTATATAGTATCCATGGTAAATGTTTAAAAATAAAAATGTAATTGTATTTATAAAGGCGAACAACAAAAGTGGAATAAGGGATGCCAATCTTTTTAAATCCACTTATTTATTTCGATGAGAAAAAGTACGTATGGGGCAGATAAATTTTACTACACTCTATGCAATTTTATTATCTACTTGCGACCAACACATTTTCAAATGAGATACCATAGGGATGGAGTTCGTCATTGTGCTCAATATAGGAGAGTGTGTTATTGTTTACACTTAGATAAAGCCCATTAGAGGCATAGTGTGTATGTTCGAGAATTCATATCTATCAACTCGAACAATCACCTTTCTCTCGTAATTGATATGTAAAACCTTAAAATAAAGGAAGAAACTTCGTGACGCTGAGGAATCTCGAAGTTTCTAAAATCTGAAAGTTAATGGGTGAAAAAAGGCCTAGACTGACGAGCCCCAGTTGATTTGGAAGTTTTCAACTGTTCAACTTTAAACTGACGAGCCCCAGTTGATTTGAAAAGTTGAACATTTGAAGTTTAAATTTTGGCAGCAGCCTAAATGAAGAGACTCCAAGTAGGTGGAAATCACGAGATAAGGCACATTAATTTATTTGGCTGTTGGGTTGGTGAAACCATCAAAGGTACAGTACCCACAACTGCAATTTCATCTGAAGGCAACTCGAAGTTTTCCGTGAACGAGTTTAAGATGATGGAGTAAACGAGGAGTATGCGGTCCTTTGTCTTTGATTTCTTCGCCAACCTCTATTCTCTTCAAGCTTTTCGATGTATATAGACTCTTTTACTCTTCTTGATTTCCACTATTGCTGTCGATCGCCACTGATCACATTCTGAAAGGGCCGTGACGAATGTGAGCATCAAAGACAAGTTATGGAGGAACGTGTTTCTCCACTGAACTCAGGTGGCAAGATGGAGATCAGTTCAAGTGAAGAAAGTGTTATGGCGCCGCAGGTTGATCGAAGGGATCTGATTGATTTCTTATGTGGTGAGGAACTCACTGATGCTGATTCCCAAGATCGAGAGAGTACTAGTAACAGCGAATCATGCTGCAAGAATAAGGAGGACTTTTTTAAGCAGCAACGGGAGTTGGGACTAGCAGTGATGATCAAATCAAGAAATGAAAGTTTTGAAGTAACGCCTGGAACTGAGTTGGAAAACATTATTGCAGATATCATCCTTCCACGGTCAGTTGCCAGGGCGATCGATACGTGTTACCAGGAGCAGCGGAAGATAATGGATTTCGAAGATGTCATGCAAGCAGCCAGATGCCTCGGTTTTGAGAAGTTTCTTGAGCCACTCAAGAAATACATGCAGGAGCATGCACACTTTAAAACTGAAGAAAGCGTTAGCAGTGGAAATGGCGCTGCATATGATGAGTTCTTCAACTTGAAGGCAGAAGAAGATGATGCATGTACTGATGTTCCTGGATACGACGATTGGTACAAAAATGTGCAAGATTTGATGGCAATGGTGCACAACAACTGTTGTAGATCTTGCCCTTGCAGGATTGTCAAGTTTACAAGAGAGAACTACAAGTAGTTTTCGGCTCTTGACTCTTGACTCTTGACTCTTGAGGGCCTGGCAGTGCATGCTTCATCAGAGACAACGGTCGATTTGCAGTGATAATCAGAAGTGAAGCACCTCTTGGAAAATGGCGGGATGCACCGGTTGTGGTTCAGTGACACGAATCTCCTCCAGACGTTAGGAGTTTGGATTCTTGACTACCACTGCATCCTAATGACAGACCAGAGTATGATGGCTGTAAACAGATAAAACTTATCGTGCTTATTCCAAAGGGCTGCGAGCTTGGTGTACTTATGACACATTTGAAGTCAGAACAAAAACTGACAACAATGTGCGAAGGACACCTTGAAGTCTTTTGGATTCGATTAATCTGTGTTCATAGAAGTAGACAGATTGTATCGAATACGATCAAGTGATATAAGAAATTAAAGGTTTGTTATAAATTATTTATATCCATAGAAGAGAATCACTTTCAGATGAATTAGCTTTTGAATTTAGAATTCCCTCCATTTTCTACAAGCTTAACTATCTCATAGTTCTGAATTAGCCGACTGTTTTCACTTACTTATATATTGAAAGAAAACAATATCAGAATCCACGTCTCTTTTTGTGGTTGCAGGTCAGGGTCCCCGTATTTTTAAGTCAACATTGTATACGAGCGATTATCCTGTCAGTTTTCCTGTCAACGTTTTCCTTAGATGCCAACGTACTATATCAACAAGAGCCTGTCAATGACAAGCACTCAATGGTGGAGATTAGACACGAGGAAGAAGGTTGGACTTTACCTTGAAAGTGAATTGGCTCGGATAAGAGATCGGGAACAAAGTTCACATAACTTTATTATATATTGATCTTGATACCAAGTACATAATAAATGCTGTCCATCTGATGGTTTATCAGGTTTGAAACTGCTGATGACATTATTCATTTTGCAAGAGTTTGAAGAAGCGGAAGGTTTAGAGTGATTTGGAATGGGACTTGAACTTGCAGTAGCGGATTAGGCTGTTGTTATTATGTTTGCACCGTGTCCAAAACCGTAAAATCTTGTTACCATGTGCGTCGTGTTGGAGTTTAGAGGCACTGGGAGTGCCTCATTGTAATAGTGTTTATATTGAGGTGGATTTAAATTGGTAGGCAAAAGAGGAAAAAATGGAAGAGAGTTGTATTATTACATGGTGCACATGTCACATGGGTAGGTCAAGAGATGATATGATGGCTAACGCATATGGGCGATCCCCATTTTAGAATTTAGAATCATGTAAAGATGTGCAACCAAACATTATGAATTAAGGTTTTTGTCACATATTTTACATATCTCACTCAGATCATTCTTCGTATGTTACACTAGCTTCAGCAACTATTTCTCATCTACTTTTAAACTCAATACATCTTGTAGTCGCTTTTGTACCGAAAACATTTTACAGCTTTGAAATCCTACCAAAAGATTCAGTGAAAAACTTAGGGTTTATTTAGGGCTATCGGCTCTCCCACATAAATTTATAAGTGCTTATGAGAAATGTTTGTGTCTTGTTTGTCTTAGAGTTGAATAAGCTGATATCTGCTGCGTACGTCTTTCAATTGTTGAATTTTTAGCATAAAATTTTTTGGTTAAAGTAAGTGAGTGAGAGTCCATTATTCCAAATTTTTTATCAGTTTAGACTGATAAAAAATATTTTTTTGCAACGTTAATTCAGAAATCAGACTAAATCGAAAATAAATTTTGAAAAATGGTGCGTTGTTAAATTTATGCATATAAAATTTAGTTTTTTTGAAAATCATTTTGAAATTTTTTTAGACATAAATCAAGTACAATACTAGTCATGTTGATTATGCAAATCATACAAATCAAAAAATCTATGTACATTTGCATAAATTTTCCTAATCTAATTTAATATTTTATAAATCATTATATTAATCTTATTGTGAAATAAATGATATGCATAAATGATGAGAAACTTTAAATTTTGATTACGAGAAATAAAGTGTATTAATTTGAACAAAATCCAATAAATTTTGCATTACTGATTTAAATAAATCACCCCAAAATGAGAATCCACAAGTAAATACACCTAAAAATTGACATCAAAATATATGGTTCGTCAATGCGGTCTTACTCATGGGAACACAGAAAATTTTTATTGATGAAAATCTAAAAGGATCATTACGGGGTTATTCTAGCTTGTTCGTTTAATGAATACATAACGTGAATACTAGTGCCAGTTGAACTAAACTATCTTAAAATAGATCTGAATTAATTACACTAGCAAAAATAAAATAAAGATTCTTGATTACCATTGAAACAACATTTTTTTTCATCAAAATTTAAACCAAAAAGGACATAAATGCTAACTACTAAACTTGTACCCATATGCACTTGCACAATAAGTCACAAAATCTTGAAAAACTATCTAAGAGAATCACTTTGATTCAAATATTATCATCAATATTGACTTACTCTACTACATCATGGAAAAAAAATTATACATATATTTTATTGTTGCACTGCACTGTTCATCACCTAACATTAACCAGATTTCAAATCATTTTCATTGAATTACTAAGACTGTATAATGTCATACACTAATTTCACCCTTAATGACAAATTTATCCAATCACAATAATTTCTTCCCTGTTGTTGCCATTACATACTCAATTTTTTTCACGAACTAAGCTACTCATTTTTTCAATATAGATTTTCAACTTATGCATGTAATTTTAATCTTCAAATATAAATCTAATAAAAAAAATTTCCCATATAAATCTTGACATTTACATAGCCAATCAATGATTTGGCATTGTTAAATTTTGCATGAAATATAAAAAATTAATTGTTATTTAAAATTACATTTATACTTTTTTTAGTACTTTAACCAGATTTGATATGTAAATGTTATGAAACAGTTTATTAGGGAAAACCACAAACAACAAAGAAGAGATAACACGACGCAGATAAAAAATTTACGTGGTTCGCCATTTCAAATCCATAATTATACAAACGTAATTTTTATAAAAATAATCAAATAATTGAATTATATTATTCAAGTTTTGATTTAGCTTAATTACTAATGATTTGAGTTAACTATATATTTTTTGGAAAATAATTATAAAACCTTTCTAAAAAGTATGAATGAACACCAGTAATTTTTAAGATTGGAGTCTTTAATTCTTTAAGATTGGAGTCTTGATAATGAAGATATATGACAATATGTTCACGCATGATTGAATCAATGTTAAATCAGAAAATAATTGAAGGTCTATTATATTGCTTCTCCATTTAGAAGACAAAATGCTTTCAAACTTGGTTCATACAACCGTGAAGTAAAATGTAACCTTGTACACAAAACTACCTCAAGTCAAGTTCACATAATCTATCATTCATCGATACAATTAGAATTACAACTAGATGAAGTTAATTTCATGGTGGTTTTACTACCTTGAGTTATAAGACAAATGCATTTCAGATTGTAAAGCCTACAAAGAATATAACCACACAAAAATAAGGTTGGAATAGTAAAATTTTTATTTAGTATGACATGTGTTGACTATGATTCCTTTATAATCTTAAGATTAATTATTATATGTGTTTATGAAAAGCTTGCTTCTGAAATTGCAAATACTGTACGCTTGCCTCGTCTTACTTTATCATTGTTGTATCACATGGTACAGTAATTGTCATCTCCCCACAGACTTGAGTTCCTGGCAAGTAATTGCAACTAGTATGGTTAGCAGTGCTTTTGTAATCCTTAACTTCATAAATTGATTTCACGACATAAGACAAAATTCTCAACCAGATCCAACTTCAAGGATTGTTGCTCTATTCACATTGATCCATTTTCTCTAGCCTATATTCAACTGCGCATGAAAGGAAGTCAATTGAGTGTTTACATATGAAGGTTAATGTCATACATATAAATCTCTTATCACAACATACATCGTTGTCACATCTTGATACACATTAGGTCATACACCACTAAAAGAATATGTTTTTCAAAATGCCTATCAAGACAAGGCAGTAATCACTATCTCATAAATCATCGTATTAACGAAGAACCAAACTCACGTTACGACTCAAAGACTTCTGCACTAGCTTCTCTCCACCATAGTCTCACTCTCGAAGCCTCAACTTTAATTGAATCCTCAGGAGCCCTAATTTGATCTCTATCCCCTAACCCTAGATAGTCTAACCGCGCTATCGACCCTAACGGAAAATCCAGTGCGAACGGCAATAGGTGCACAATTGGCTTGAATTGGTCTGTCGGATTTGACACCTAAGTGTGAAGTATCTACCTAGTAAGGTGACTGTCACATAAGTCATGACAACAATCTTCGAACTCATCCGGGGCTTTGGGCTGAAGCAGAGTACTGCATCGGGTACCCATACCCGAAACCCGAACCAAACCCGCCCGAACCGATGGGTATGGTTCGGGTTTAGACCAAGCTAGAAAGGTCAGGTTCGGTTTCGGGTTGGACTTTTCTTCATATGGTTTAGAAATAGGGTTACGTTTAAAAATGTAAATCAGGGTTACTCTGTACAAAGGTCGTGGAGTATTTTTTGATTTGTAACATTGCTAATCGCACTTGTTCTCTTCGTCCATTACTCTCGAGGTTTCTCATAGGTGACAATGACAATTGAGATGAGTTCATTCGGGTCCAGTCGGGTATCAATTCAGAGGCGACTTGGGTTCGTTTCGGGTTTCGGTTTTGTCCCTTTGGATATCGTTCGGTTCCGGGTACCACAAGCGGAGAATACGTGGGCATGGATCGGGTTCGGGCATGCTTTTGAGGTGTGATGCAGTACTCGGGGCTGAAGTGTGAAGTCTTCAGCGTTATAGTATGATATGGAGCCCTAAGAACAAATCATTGCATTAAAAGATCTCATTTTCCAAGAATATGTTCAGAATGTTCACACATCTTACTCTCTTACCAAATGTAAAGCACTTTCTCTTCTCGAAGTCTCTATCACAGCAGAAATATGCAAAACTTTTGCCATGAACAAAGTTAATCAGAAAAAATACACCCCGAATGAGTAATTTCGGTACGTAAAGGTTCAACTCACATCCTCAATTGCTTTAAGGATGTGAGCCTTCCGATCAGCTGTTACACTCTTTTACTCTCAACTCATATGGACGGGTTTTCACGCTAAGATAATTCTCCATTTCTCGTTTCCTCTTCTTTCCATTTTCACTTCCCTCTCTACTCTATGCGTTCCTAAAAATATGAGTATAAGAAAAAAGTCCAAAGATTTGGGTTATGACCCAAAACGAATTTAGGTGTGGACTTGCTCTGATGGATATGTTGCACCATGGCTCCAGTGCTGCACTCATCATACGTACTTCATGGCTAAATAACCGTGCTAAATACTCACCTCTCGTAACCCGCTGCGAACTGACCTTATCAGCGTATCCGCATGCTAATCCCAATCTTGAGGCCAATGCTCGAACTTGACAAACTCGAAATTGTCAATCTCCCCGAGTCCAACTGTACTCGCCGCAGTATGGCAGCGATACGTGTCGAACAACGAGAGCCTCTCCTACGAAGTCCAGAAAAATGGCACGTGGTGATCTGAGAAGGAGCCGTTCCCCTTTCCCCGTCTTGTTCGTCACTCCATCCCAGCAGTCGACGACACCCCAACCATCTCTCGAATTCGTATAAAAGCCCGGGCCGGGCTAGAACTGGATCAGTATCACATACACTGCAAGCTCGTAGTATTCTTCATTCAGCTTCCAGTCATCTTCTTCCTATCCCTCCACTCGCAGTTTCCTTTCAATCGAATTTTTTGATCAAATGGAGAGCGCCAAGGACTCCGCTGCTCACACCACAGAGCAGACCAAGAATTTTGGAGCGGAGAAGACAGGGCAGGCCCAAGCACACGCTGAGGGAATGGGGCAGGCTGCCAAGGACAAGGCCAACCAGGCCGGTCAGGCCACATCTGATGCCGCCCAGACGACCAAGGACAAGGCTGCTGAGGCCAAGGACAACGCGGGCAATGCCCTGCAACAGGTACCTTTCTCTAAATCACGTTCTTCTTTCAGCATGTGAAGTTGCAGCTGCCAGATTTGTTGTCACGCAGGTTTTACGTCCGTGGACTGATAAGCACCGTTTGGCTGATTGCAGGCTGGTGACAAGGTGATGGAGACTCTTACCAATGCAAAAGACGCTATTACTGGCAACAATCAGTGAGTAGATCGTAAGCATCAGGAACTGAAGAGAGGAGCCACTTCAGCTGGATCAGTCACGTATACAATTTGTCTGGCAACTAGCAAAAAGGCTCCTGCGATTCACAGTTGGGAAATTCCAATTTCCAATGCTGAAGTAGTTGAATTCAGCTGAGTGTGTCATTCGTAGGATTTCAGGGAACTAAATTTGTTCTACAACTGTACAAATTATAAATACAAGATATTTCACATGATTATTTTGTCGTCACAATTTTCTGCAAGCCAACGGCTCAAATGATGTTATTATTGCTCAATTCTTATCAGCTCTTTGATGACAGCAGATCTCATTGATACCATCGTTGAATATTGCAAGTTGGCTGGAGACTCGTCTTGGACGTTATTATAACGTCTCACTAATTTTATACTCAATTTGGAATTTGTTAAATGCTGATGTCTATACTCTTTGTATTGCATATGATAAATTTTACAATTTCTGAAACAAGATTATTCATTCAGCTACAGAACCTTCAGCCACGTGCAAATTCAAGATTACTTGTCCATTTCTCATACAGCCGTTATGTATATTTATAATACTTGCATTTTCGAATAGTAATTTCTGACGACTATGAAACAGAACAGTGCCAAAACTCATTTCCAATTTAGAAATCAAATCGCTGTTTGAAAAAAATCAATCAGAAAAAAAAAATTTACAATCTGTAAAAACTTCTCATTTCAATACTAATCATGAAAATTTTTTTATGCCGAACACTGTATAATGAAAAATCACATGCGAGAACTATCTCATTTCTTATCCCCGACAAATCATACGTACTGTTTCACTCGAATCGCGAGAAATTACTCTGAAATAAAGTCATAGATCTGTAGTCAAATAATTGATTTAGTGAGATAAAGCCAGTTGCCGAGGACGATACATTACATGAGCTCCTTCGATCGGAGACTTGCATTCATAATCACGTCCGATATGGACTCATCATGCTCACTCGTACAAGTCATTCGATTGGGACATTAATCGTCCATATGCGGCGGGGCCATTAAATTTTACGTTCTCATGCGTTTCTTTTGGAGTAGCAGTCGAGCTTCTGGCGCTATCTCGAATCTCATAGCACGGTCCTGAGCAGAGCGACATTTCCAGGTGTACTTACACTGCGCACTCTCAAAAGAATCGGTAGGCTATAAACGGACAAATCTTAACGACATCCTCATCCTCTTCCTCTTCACGTGGTCACGAGGTTGACGACCACTTTCTGCCAATGCTGCAATAACTTCATTGGACTCTCCACGGCGAGAAAGGTCGCGGCCACAGTCGCAGTCACTCCGACTTCATCCAACGTCGACCAAAATATGAAACTCGCAGCTGTTCTTTCCTGACCTGAGCACTCACCGCAAGACACCTGTCTCGAGTCGCAGCGCATGTTGACCTGGGTTCACGATCGATCGTCCGGTTGCTGTGGGCGCCGATTCTGAAAAGTTCTATCCGCGCTCTCGAGAATGAGCGGAAAGGTGCTGCACTTCAACTACACGTGTCGCTCTCCGTTTCAGCAGCTCGAGGATCAGGAGATTAAATTAACAAGAGAAAAAAGTGTGAAAATGTCTAAAGTCTAATGTGACCCAAAACGAATGTAGGAGTGGATTTGCTCTGAATGTTGCACCATGGCTCCAGTGCTGCACCCATCATACGTACTTCATGGCTAGATTACCGTGATCTGCTGTGCTAAATACTCACCTCTCGTAACCCGCTGCGAGCTGACCTTAACAGCGTATCCGCATGCTAATCCCAATCTTGAGGCCAATGCTCGAACCTCTCTCATTGACAAACTCGAGATCCCCCAGAGTCCAACTGGACTCGCCACAACATGACAGTAATACGTGTCGAACAACGAGAGCCTCTCCTACGAAGGAATGAGATGCAAGTCCAGAAAAATGGCACGTGGTGATCTGAGAAGGAGCCGTTCCCCTTTCCCCGTCTTGTTCGTCACTCCATCCCAACATTCCACGACAACCCAACCATCTCTCGAATTCGTATAAAATCCAGGCCTAGAACTGGATCAGTATCACATACACTGTAAGCTCGTAGTCTTCTTCATTTAGCTTCCAGTCATCATCTTCCTTTCCCTGCGTTTGCAGTTTCCTCTCAATCGTATTTTTTGATCAAATGGAGAGTGCCAAGGACTCCGCCGCTCACACCACAGAGCAGACCAAGAATTTTGGAGCCGAGAAGACAGGGCAGGCCCAAGCACACGCTGAGGGAATGGGGCAGGCTGCCAAGGACAAGGCCAACCAGGCCGGTCAGGCCACATCTGATGCCGCCCAGACGACCAAGGACAAGGCTGCTGAGGCCAAGGACAACGCGGGCAATGCCCTGCAACAGGTACCTTTCTCTAAATCACGTTCTTCTTTCAGCATATGAAGATGCAGCTGCCAGATGTGTTGTCACGCAGGTTTTACGTCCGTGGACTGATAAGCACCGTTTGGCTGATTGCAGGCTGGTGACAAGGTGATGGAGACTCTTACCAATGCAAAAGACGCTATTACTGGCAACAATCAGTGAGTAGATCGTAAGCATCAGGAACTGAAGAGAGGAGCCACTTCAGCTGGATCAGTCACGTGTACACTTTGTCTGGCAACTAGCAAAAAGGCTCCTGCGATTCAAAATTGGGAAATTCCAATTTCCAATGCGAAGTAGATGAATTCAGCTGAGTGTGTCATTCGTAGGATTTCAGGAAACCAAATTTGTTCTACAACTGTACAAATTATAAATACAAATATATATATACATTATTTTTCAAGTCCTCACAATTTTCTGCAAGCCAACGGCTCGAATGATGTTATTATTGCTCAATCTCTTATCAGCTCATTGATGACAGCATATCCCATGATATCATCATGTGATTACTGCAAGTCGTCTAAAATTCGTCTTGGACGTGATTATAATCTTTCACTAGTCTTATACTCAATTTCTAATCTGTTTAAATGCAAATATGTTTAATCTTTTTTAGATAATCTTAACAATTCTGTTGTCTGTTTCTCATACATTAGTAAAGTATACTTCTAATGCTCACATCTCAAATGATATTTTTTGACGCGTAAAGCAGAACAGAGCGAAATAAAATTTCAATCTTGGTAAACGAATTGCTGTGTGGTAGAAAAAATCGGACAAAGTAAATTTTCAGTCTGAAGAAATTTCACACTTTGAACTAAGCATGAATAGTCATATCTCACCTTCCTTCCAGTCAACTTATTCAGAATGTCAAAGTTCAGATCCGTTTGAGCTTTAAACAACGGATAATTATCCATTTGCAATCACATTAGAACTCAAAAGCTTCTGCACTAGCTTCTCTCCACAATAGTCTCACTCTCGGAGCCTCAACTTTTATTGAGTCCCAAGAAACTCTAATTTATCTCTTTCCCCTAACCCTAGATAATCTAACCGCGCTAGCGACCTTAATGAAAAACCAAGTGCGAAAGGCAATAGGTGCACAATCGGCTTCAACAGTTTCAATTGATTTGACACCTAAGTACCTACGTACTAAGATGACTGTCACATAAGTCATGACAACAATTATCAAAATTAATCGGTGCCTTGGGTTGAAGTGTAAAGTCTTCAGCGTTTTAGTATGATATGGTACCCTAAAAACAAATCATTGCATTCAAAGATCTAATTTGCCAAGAAAATGCTCATGGTGTTCACAAATCTTAGTGTATTACCAAGTGTAAAGCACTTTCTCCTCTTCAAGGCTCCATCCAGCAAAAACATGCAAAATTTTTGCCATGACAAAGTTATTATAATAATAATACACCCCGATTGTGTATTTTAGGTACGTAAAGGTTCAACATACTTGCAATTGCTTTAAGGATGTGAGCCTTCGGATCAGCTGCTACACTCTTTTACGCTCTACAGTACTGTACTTCACGTGACATGGTCAAGTGCCTCCCCTCTATCTCGTGGGGACGGGCTTTCACTGTAAGATAATTCCCCATTTCTCGTTTCCTCTTCTTTCCATTTCCACTTCCCTCTCTCCTCTATGCGTTCCTGAAAATTTGAGTAAGAGAAAAAGTTCTAAAGATGTCTCAAGTCTAATGTGACCCAAAACGAATGTAGGTGTGGACTTGCTCTGATGGATATGTTGCACCATGGCTCCAGTGCTGCACTCATCATACGTACTTCATGGCTACATAATCGTGATCTGCTGTGCTAAATACTCAGTTCTCGTAAACAGCTGCGAACTGACCTTAACAGCGTATCCGCATGCTAATCCCGATCTTGGGGCCATGCTCGAACTTGTCTCATTCACAAACTCGAAAACCTCAATCTACCCCAGAGTCCAACTGGACTCGCAACAGTATGGCAGTTATACGTGTCGAACAAAGAGAGCCTCTCCAGAAAGAAGTCCAGAAAAATGGCACGTGGTGATCTGAGAAGGAGCCGTTCCCTTTTCCCCGTCTTGTTCGTCACTCCATCCCAGCAGTCGACGACAACCCAACCATCTCTCGAATTCGTATAAAACCCAGGGCTAGAACTGGATCAGCATCACATACACTGCAAGCTCGTAGTATTCTTCATTCAGCTTCTTCTCATCTTCTTCGTATCCATCCACTCGCAGTTTCCTCTCAATCGTAATTTTTGATCAAATGGAGAGCGCCAAGGACTCCGCTGCTCACACCACAGAGCAGACCAAGAATTTTGGAGCTGAGAAGACCGGGCAGGCCCAAGCTCATGCTGAGGGAATGGGGCAGGCTGCCAAGGACAAGGCCAACCAGGCCGGTCAGGCCACATCTGATGCCGCCCAGACGACCAAGGACAAGGCTGCTGAGGCCAAGGACAACGCGGGCAATGCCCTGCAACAGGTACGTTTCTCTAATTCACGTTCGTCTTTCAGCATATGAAGATGCAGCTGCCAGATATGTTGTCACGCAGGTTTCACGTCCTTGTACTCATAAGCACCGATTGGCTGATTGCAGGCTGGTGACAAGGTGATGGAGACTCTTACCAATGCAAAAGACGCTATCACTGGCAACAATCAGTGAGTGGATCGTTAGCATTAGGAACTGAAGGGAGGAGCCACTTCAGCTGGATCCGTCACGTGTACAATTTGTCTGGCAACTAGCAAACAGGCTCTTAAGATTCACAATTGGGAAATTCCAATTTCCTGTCACGAAGAAGATGAATTCAGCTGAGTGGATCATTCGTAGGATAGTCCAGGAAACTAAATTTGTTGTAGGACTGTACAAATTATAAATACAAAATA